CTACGGTTAAGCTTTTTATTTAATTTTTCTTGTGTTTGAACAAGAGCTTCCTTTCTGGACAAAGTGTGTAAGAACTGTCCAAATGTTTTATATTTCTGAGCGCTTTCAGCTATACCTTTAGCCATTATCAAGGATGATTTGATTTTTCAACTTAATTGAGTGTGTGCTTTCTCCGTATGTCTTAGTGTGTGGTGGGGATGTTTTTATTTTCTGAATACGGTTAGCACATTGTGGCTTTGTTCATAGTTAATATTGTTAAGAGTTGGCTTTTTAAACACACACACAAATTTACCAGACTCCATTAGAAACATACTAGTAGAAAACACAAATATATTAACTGTATCCACCTGCAAAAAAAAAGACTAAAAATAATGGAAGCTTTAATAATAAAAAAGAAAAAGCCAACTCTAGGGCTGGTGCAAGTATCTCATGCCCCCAGTGAATCTATGCCCTCCTGCTAATCTATGATACAGCCCCCCCCACTCTACTATATCTCAATTTTCATAATATAGTATTCATATAAAATATAAACTTTATTGTAACTTAGTTATCTATAATGATGGGTCATATGCAATATAAGTGAACAATTCAACTAGAAAAATTTTACCATCAACTCGAGATTTTTCTTGTGAAAAAGTTTCAATAATTTCAAGACATTCAACATTATGGATAAAAAATAGTGAATTTTTCTATAGTGTTTTTTTGAGACTTAGCATGAAAATCTTTCATCCTTTAATAGTCAGTTATGCTTAGTTTAATTTATAACATATATAAACGCTGATAAGATAGCAATGGTCACAAAGCACTGCCTGGAACTGCAATCAGTATGCAGATATGGGAAATTCCAATACCAATCAGAAATCACAAATAAAAATATTGCCAGTGTTGAAAGGATAAATAAAAGAATAATAAAAGTGGAACTTTTGCTAGTTTTAATGAAACATGCCACTTGCATCAATGAAAATGATTACCAAAATATATATATATAAATATATATATATATATATATATATATATATATATATATATAATTAATTAAATCAAAAATTAGTAGCACCATCAAAAGGATGTGTTACTGAATTGTAAGCAAAATAAAAAATAGTGCTTGATACAAAAGTAAACTTGTGGAGCAAATTATATCCTTGAAAACTAAGACGCTAAAAGGATGGATACAACCATGGTTTCAATCATAATAGTTATCATCAGGGAGTACCTCCTGATGATACCTGTTAGGGTTGAAACCATGATTACATCCTTTTAGTGTCTTAGTTTTTAAGGATATACATTCATATACATACATACATACATATATATATATATATATATATATATATATATACATGCACATACACACACACACATATATATATAAATATATTTATTATTTCAAATGTTATTATAATGAAAACTTCTTATTGAAATAGATGACCCATTTTTATTTATTAAATAGTATGTATTAGTTTATTGGCCTACACATTCGAGAAATCTTAGTACCCTGACAGAGATTGAACCTGCGTCTCTCTTTGTAGGGGAAACTACTGTTTGATCCAGCATACCTTACTGCTTGGTGACGAAGAACTTTGCATGCCAAATCAAATAGCAGTTTCTCCTAAAAGGGAAACAAAGATTCGATCACTGATGGAGACTACATTTTCTTTATTAAGATTTCTTGAATGTACAAGCTGATAGACATAATACACACTATTTATAAATGAAAATAAGATATCTATTTCAAATAAGAAGTTTCCACTATAATAACGTTTGATGTAATAAAATGTCGGATTAAAGTTAAATTTATTAATTCTTTAGAAACAATATATATATATATATATATATATATATATATATATATATATATATTATAATCTGTTTCATGCTAAACACATAAAACAGATTGCTGACTTCAATGTTGTCTTTATATATATATATATATATATATATATATATATATAAAAAGTTATAAAGTCAAGGTACCAAGGAGGAAATTTCATCAGAACAATTACCATAAAAATATTTATAGAAAAGGCACAAGGAAGCTATCCTATGACAGTGGGAAAGTGACTGAACTTGAGATGCCAGGTTGGGACCAATAACATTGCAAATTATTCTTTGTATTCTATTAAGAATCTCTAAATACATAGCAAAAGCACCAGACCAGCTGTGGCAGCAATATTCAATGTATAGATGAATGGTAAGAGATTCTGGTGAGAAAAATTGTCTAGCACGATATAGTGAACCAACTTTACTAGCAGCAGACTTAGCAATTATTCCATATAATGTTATAATTATATTATAATGTTATAATTATTCCATATAATGTTATAATAATAATTTAACTGTGCATCAGATTAAATCAATTGTAAGATACTCCATCAGCCAATCCATGACAATCATTTCTTTTACTATCTGCAAACTATTTTGAATTGCTATCCAATTCACTATCAGAGTGAGAAAACCAAAGACAAAGAAATTTCACATGAGATATCTAAGCAACTAGTCCAAAATGATTTTAAAAAAATGTGTGCAGTGACTAAAAAATATTATTTTACGACTAGCAGCATGACCCGGCGTTGCCCGGGCTTGATTCAAAATCGTACTACTCATACAGCAATCACTATCACTTGACTTAAAATATTTTTGCCCTTCCTTGCCTTTAAAGGAGTGCCCTTTGCCATGCTGATGTTGCTACATGCCTTACTTCTTGCCTATCTCACACTGCAAATTTTTTCTAAGCTCTATACTAAACATTAAATCTGTTACGAAAAAAGAACTAAACAAAATGAACACAAAACGATCAGCTTGAAACTGGAAAAATGGAATGAAAAAAGAATGTTAACAACAAATACTTTTTCACACCCAACCCAGTTCTACGGAATCAGAATCAACGTTGAGACATGTTTATAATAGAATGAGCCAATTGGAGTAAAGTGCCATGCAGATTTAAATTTTTCCCACTTATGACAAATGCAGCTATCGACTTTTTTTTTGCATGCTAGTTAACATTCGTGTAAGTCAGCTGTTGGCTCTCACTCTGGCCAGTAGAAAATGACCGCAAACTACATGAAAACTGCCGTAGAAGCATGAAAAAATTGATTATTTTCCACTATTGAAGGGAGTTGGGAAAAGCAAAGTCAGTCTTGGCCTTCCTCTTCCTAACTTGGAGCATGTGCATGTAAATTTTGGTGCAAATCCGTCCGAAAATTGCGGCCGTGCATTCACACACACACACACACACACACACACACACACACACACACACACACACACACACACACACACACATCCTGCCTTTCATAGATAGAGATTTGTGTCCAGGTTCTTACAACATTTCACCTTTCTTGACAGATCTTGTATTATCACACTGTAGAATACTTAATAAGAAAAGTGATAAAAATATAAACAAACAGAAAAAGAAACCAAATGAAATTGGCTAGAATATATACTGAAACACATATTATTCAAAAATAAAAAAAATCTAAAAGTTAAAAATTTCAGGAGCCCCTTTCCTTCATATCCATGTGTAGTTACATCAAAATATACATCACTTTAATCCAATGAAGTTTTTAAAGATAAAATGAGTCTCACAAAACACACACATGCACACACACACACACATATATATAAAAGTGGACATTGAGGTCAACACCTAGTGATGATAGTCTGTTTCATACATGGTGTTGACCTCACTGTCCAATTTTATATTTACATATGCTCCATCCCAAATATTGAGCACTTTAAGCCATGGATATAGCATACCCTAAAACTATATGTGTATGTTTGCATGTGTGTATGTATGTATATTAATAAATAAATTATATATGGAATGTTAAGCCTTGTGGTGAGTTTCTCAGATAAGTTGTTTAATATTTAGTGGAAACATGTAAAGAAAGTTGCTAAAAGTATGTAATGTTCTAAGTGGTTTTGACCATTGCAGATCGTTTTAAGAAAAAAAAGGTAGATGCAAGAGGAAGCCAGTAGTCATGTGATTTTAAAATCTATTTTAACCCCCGCAGCATATGAAGCCATATTCACTTTAATCTCCTGGACCATTAACAGCATAAACGCTGCACTGGTTATCTCTTGGTTACCCTTTACCTTGATAATGACCAACGATTATCAAAAGGACTTGGTACATGACTCAAAAGTTTTGGCAAGTCACTTTTCAATCTGAAATTTTAGCTGTATAATATTTGATCTATATTTTTAATATTCTCCACTGAATTAAATGAATTGTTATGGAAGGAGATTTTATCGCAAACTATATATTTACCGTATTAAGTTATAAATAATAAATATACAAATTTTTTATCTACCTAAACACACACACACACTATATATATATATATATATATATATATATATATATATATATATATATATATATATATATATATATAAAATATATATATATATATGTACAATATTCACTCAACTAATAAGAAATTTTAAAACAAAATCTGATGCTTAGTCATGAGGTTAGATTTGGGCAAGTGGGTCAAGTTAATGATATTTCAGCACTCCTTTATATCTATCAATCTCTCTCCCCCGATATGTATATATATATATATATATATATATATATAAGATATTAATGAAGAAAATAAATTACATATATATGTATATATATGATATTGAGGAAGAAGTAAAATGTGAAAATAGATTATAGTAGCAGCAGTTAGAAAAAAAAGGAAGTATTTATCAAGCCAATTCCTCAAACTTCCATAGAGATAAGAACCCCCACCCAGGTTTTAAATTTTTTGTTAAAAAATACCAGAATTAATATTAAAACCAAATGAATAAAAAATAAAGAAAGCAATGACTAACTTAAAAAAACAAAACAACGTAATCTTTAATAATAATAGAAATAACCTGTAATTTTATTATGTTTCAAACAAAAATAAATAAAAAATAAAAATATTCCTGTAATCTTGGAGCAGCAGGCTTAACAGGTCTTTGTAAGTACCGTGACCTTGACATTGGGTCACGTTGGCAGTTGACGCATGCGTAATGCGAGTCATCTAGTAAACAGATTTCCGCTCAACAAATATGTTTTTTTTTTAGTCCATCTTCTCTTTTTCTGCTGTTTTCTGAGTGTTAGCGCTATTATTTCTTGTCCGTCGCTATCCAAGTTTCCTCTATTTTATTTTTTTAAATTTTTTAATTTCCATTGGGAGATTCGCGTTCCATTCTTACCCGACGACAATTTGACGTACACACACACACGTCAGGGGCCTCCACAGGTAAAAAAAAAAGAAAAAGAAAAAAAGTCACAATCTTAACATTTAAAAAAAAAAAGAAGAATTAATAACTCTGCCTCTTGTAAATATTTTTCTTCTATTTGAAATGTATAGTCTGATTTTTAGAATAATATCTTGAGTCGTACAATTTTTTTTTTAAAAACATTTTCTTTTCGTTTCAAAAAGAAACAAACCTTTTTTTTGTTTTGGGGTTTTCTATCCCGTAAGGGTGACTGATTTTTGTTTAAACATAATAATAGAAGATTGCAATATTTATTTAGGTATTTACTTGTAATTGTCTGCATAAATTGATAAATATATACCTTTTTGTATATCCGTCAATATTGTCCATAAAAACCATCTTTCTTTTGCATCTTCTTAAATTAACTTGCATCATAAATACAATACAACAATGTTGCTCTCTAGTGTTTTCATGACATTTTTTAAAATCTTTTGCTTAAATATGATAGTAAAAGTCATTTGTTATAGTTGTTAAATTTCATTTATAAAATATAAAAAAGTAAACTGCAGTGTATTTTTGCTTGCTTACTTGGACATCTCATGGATACTCAGTTATAAAAATTTATTTAGTGCCCAGTAATGAGAAGTTATCTTCCACTTTCTAGAAAGTACCTTGTAAGTGTTTTTAATTTATTATATATCCAACTGATTTAAAATGCATTCTCATATTTTATATCTGTTTCGATCAAATACATTACAACTCATCTAAATTCGTTGTTTTTTACCATTGTACCACATGGGTAAATTTTTTGTCACACACACACATAAATAATTGTAAACTGCGTGTATCTTAACTCCACGTTGTCAATTGTTTTTGAGTTATTTATTTAAATAATCTGGTTTGGTTCTGACAGTAGACTAGAATTTATGTAGACGGTGATACGAAACTGTTTACTTTAATAATGATTTTACTCAACTATATTGGTTGACAATTCTCTCCATCAACTTCACTTCCTACGACCAGTGTATTTTTAACAAACTTTACGCTTTTCATTGTGTTAGTTAAAATAAAATATAAAATATATATTTCCTTGTCTATAGCACTTTTCTCCTTTAGATTGTAAATTTATCATGAACGTTTACTTTTTATTTCTACGTCTTAATGCTTCTTTATGTTTGCCTTACCCACCAAAAAACCTATATTTTTTATTTTGTATTCTATTAAGAAAATAATAATATTCTTTTAATTTACATTACAATAATGTGCGACAGAGGGATGAAAATCTATTACCAATTTTTGTGTGAAAAGTTAATTTTACGAGATTGATTTAAAAAGTCGAAACACTTTTTTTTTTTTTGTCTTGAGGAAAAATAGGGGAAAAGTTTTAAAAGAACTTGTTTTGATATTTTTCAGTTTTTATTTTATATTATTTTAACGAAACTTATAACTAAGAATAAAATAAATAATTAAAAATAGTTGCCCATCCTTGATTTGTTAGTTACCAGAAACGAAGTTTTTTGACACAAACAAAGTCAATATTTTCTTTTAAACTAATAATTGTAAATTATTTGAAATGAACATTTTTTTTTTTTTTTTTTTTTGCAATATTGAATGAGCTGGTCACTGTTATTTTGATGTTTTTGTATTAATTATTCAATAAAAATAAACGAAAATAGATTCTTATTGCAACATGTCCAGCATTGTTTCACTTTTAACAAACGCTGATTTAAAAAATTAAAATAAATTATCCTTGTCTCCATCCAATTCATTCAATAACAACAACACAGGATTATTCACAATAACCAGGAAATTTAAAAAAAGAGAAGAGATCGTCTCATTTAATTATTTTAATACGTTAAAAAAAATAAAATTATATGCACAAAACAAAGTTCATTTGGTTTTTAATACCGCTTTTGTGATTTTAAATTTTTATATGCAGTTTGTAAACTTTTACATTCCAAAACTATGTATTTTTCTCTTTCCCCTCTTGACACCTTTTTTGTACAAATTCTGACAATGACATCTTCCGCCTCACTTACTTGCTGCTTTTTTTTCTTTTTTGCCTATTTTTAGCTTTTTAAATAGTTTTTTTTTTTTAATGATTATAATTAATTAATTAAAATTACTTACTGATTTATTTCTTACCCTCCCTCATTTGCATTGGAAACCCAGTGGTGACGACTAATGAATAACTAAGAAAAAGTTTTAATTCTTGGGTTTTAGTTTAATTTTAATAAATTCGTTTATAAAGAGGGTAAGGTATGTATAGTTTTTTCACCTAAAAATCTTAACTAGTAATGTTGTATTTTTAATTTACTTTATAATTTTTTAAACTTTAAAGAAAACGAAAAAGGAAGTTTTCACTTAATGTCAAGGAAGAGGTAAGGACTTTTTGTATCTAAGCAAGTTTTTTTGTTGCTGATTTCAAAGCTTCGACAAGCTTTTTACAATACATTTATTTACATTATTAAAAAGAAAAAGTAAAACAATAAATGGTTTTTTAAGAAAACTAAGAGCCAAGAAGACGCATTCCTTTATTTTAAAGATTTTTGTAGGGAACCAAAATAAGATTCAATTAAAAAAAAAAAAAAAACTAAAAAAAACAACATATGCTAGTTTCTTACTGTACACTACAAACGAAGAAAAATCTTTTTTCAATAACTGGTACATGAAAATGAGTCTAAAAAATAAAATATTTACACAATCACAAGTGAAAGAATTTTATTTTTTTAATTTGTTTCGCTGTTTTTGACGGTACACTTTTTTCGTAAGACTTTCTGAAATTCAATTAAAGTTAGTAGTAATATTTTTTTAACCAATATAGTTTTCAAACTAAGTAGATTAGTGAATCTTTTCATCCTTATATAGGGAACTTAAACTTTGTCATTTTTCTTAATTTTTTGCTTCTTGATAATTTGATTTCTTTTGGGCTAAAAATTAAAAATGAGCTGTTCAAAAATAAACAAATACTCAAATGTACATTGTACTTGAACTTGATGTAACATTTATTTTTTAAAAAATCTTATGGTTTAGAGATGCTAATTAATTAAATTAATTTTTCTTTTTTTGTATTATTAAGATTTTGGCTTCTTGAAACTGCTGCCAATTAAAATCATACTGATTTTAAAAATATTTTCCTAGAAACATTTGTATTTTGGGTATTATTTTTCATGTAAGTTTAAAAAAATTATTGACTCCATTTTTCAGACAGGTTTCATATAATTTCTATTTGTATTATGGCTAACATCGATTTAAATACTATTTTTTTTAATTTTCTGTTGCTTATCTGTATATATATCTTAATTTTCAACCTAAAAGTTCCTTTGTGTGCAAACACCACATGTTGTCATGTACAGCTGCTACTGTTTTTGTTTAAGACTAAGAGTCTAAATTACTAGAAAGCACTAACTAGTGACTAATAATCAATTACTGATGATAGTAGTTCAACAATAAACACCCAGAATTTTTCAGCATTTTCTCAAAATTTCAATACAGGTGAGGGCCAAAACCCCCTGAATCAGAAGCAGTATGTCCGGACTCAATAGTGCAAGTAGTTCACCAACTGGTCCTTCAAATTCTCGACGGAGAAAAAGGCCTCACCCACAGGTTTTCAGTGGAATAGCTGGATCTTTTGAAGACAAAGATAATGACTACATTTGGTAAGAAACTTTTTTTTTTCTTTTTAATAACTAGTTGTATAGTGGAATATCAAAGTATAAGGTAAGTAAAAGTTTTCAGTTAGACCCTCTTTCTCCATATCTGGCCAAGTAACCAATCTTTAGATTTTTAAAAATATTTATTTCTTTTAAAAACTTCTTGATTAAACTGAGAACTTTTCACATTTGATTTTATTTCTTTTAATTTAACAGTTGGCAGCATTTAAAGGAAGTAACTAAAAGACTAATATACAGAGTGCAGCAGAAATACCCCTACATAATAATGGTAAGACATTAGCTAGATAGACCCATTACTATTGATGTCTTACCATTATATGGGAGTTATTTCTGCTGCACACTGTATTACAGAATGAAATGCATGTAAGTTTAAAGGAAGTATGATTATCATAAATTTGCATGTGTTTATTTAATACACACATATGAGAGACTAATTGTGTGTTAAAGAATAACTTCATAGTCAATAATGAAAATTAGAATTAATTGAAAATCTGCAGCTATTTATTATTAGTTATACATTTTGTAAATTTCTTTCTCAGCAGTAGGCAAATATTTTCATAGGGAAAAATATCACGTTATTCTAATTTTTTTCTTAGTTCTAACAATTCTATAAAGAGTTTGGCTGGTATGATTTTGTAGCAAACATTTACTATTAAGTCTCAAATGATTATAGTTATGACTTTAGTCACACAGCCTGCAGAAGATGCTAAAAATATACTTGTTACCATATTAATATGGCTTTCAATATGTTACATGTGTAGCAGTTGGTATTACAATAAAAGTAAATTTATTCTAGTTCATTAAATATTCTTTGAATGTATGCAAAAATAACTAATAACTGATTGAGAAAAGAAAGGCAAACTTTATATTAGTAAACAAAATATTCAGCTTTTTCCTTTATCTAAACAGCAAGTTTTTTTCAGTTTTGGTAAATGAAATTGTTCGATTACAAGTTTTAAAATATTCCATTGGGAAGTAATAGGAGTAAAAAAAAAAAAGCTTCCAACAATTAAGTTCAGCTTCTGACACATATCCAGCATTCTTTGCTAAAGATAGGAATTTGGGTGGAAAAAAAACTATAAAACTAGTTTAATGGTGACTTCAAATTTGATTGAGTGATGGTATCTAATGTACAATTGATATATATATTTTTTTTTTCAATAGTTTATCTGTGACATCAAAAAGTGATGGCAGTAGTCCAGTTTTGATATTTTATGAATACAATACAATGCAAACTTACTTCCCATTTATCAGCAATCTAAATATAATTTAAAACACATGTTTAAAATAACAATACTATTGTAAGCATACAACTATAGCCATTGGATAGATTTTTTACAACTGGACAGTTTTACCCCATGATGAGTTTGTTTTCATTACTATTTAAATACAGTGGTCCACTCCTAAAAAAAAAAAACAAAAAAAAACAATGGAAAACTTTTGGGGAAATAATTTATTTGGCATTCATTAAACATTCCTCAAGACATTCAGAATCAATAAATTAATCATTTTTAGAAATAGGGTTCCTGTTTATAATATTGATAGTATAAATTTATCGCTGACTTTTTACAGCATTATCTGGACAAGTTGGAAAACTTTTAAAAAATATTTTATGAAAAGATTTCTGTAACACAAGAGAAAATGGTTTACCTCCTGGTAGAAATGGTCACAGCAACTCACAGATGCGTATCGGGAGATATGCTCTCCATAGATCAAGTAAGGCCACATTAACGTCTTACTGGTGCCACTCCTGGTTTTTGGCACTTAACACTCATGGACTGATTCGACTTGATCCTCTGACCTATTTGTTGTTGGGTGGGTGGAGAAGGCAGAGCTCATTTGTTGACTATGCAAATTGAAAGAGCCATATCTGGCATATCAACAATTTATTAGATGCTGACTACTCCCCGATGAGATGGTTGACATCTACCTGACCGATTTATGAAAAAATTCTGTGCCATTTGGGGTCATGAATGATCAGATGATGGTGTGTGCCTTTGTAACAGGATTGCTGGATGATGTCAGTTGGCTTTTGTGAGCAATATCCAGAATGGATGAACTGTCGACCGACCAGGTTTTGCCCCCAGGCATTCGCAAAGATGCGGGACCAGTGGTAGCAACATCAGCAAGAATGGACAGTGGAGCAGTATTTCAACCAGAAAAACATATGCCAAGTGATTCCTCCGTCATTGGCAATCATGATAACCCCGTATGTTACAAATGTGATGGTCCAAACCACTTTGCAAGGGGGTGCCAGAGTTGAAGTGGTGTGAGGCAAAAAGACACAGTTGAGGTGCCATTGCTATAATAAGCTGGAACATGTGGTGCAGAATTGTTCGGGGAAATGGATCTAGAGATAAAATATCATTGCCAACCTTGTCACCTGTAAGACACTAAACATACTATTACCTGTAGATGGTGCACAGTGTTCAGCACTCAGACGTTTCCAGTCAATATTTAGTGTGCATCACTGTCAATCGTGAAAGAGACAGTGCATAGACATAACAATCAGCATTGTGTCCCAAGCATGCTGTGGAGTTGGAGTTATTACAGTTCATACTGAGCAAGGTAACCATGCTGAAGTTGGCATTCTGGTTGTGCAAGAAAAACTTCTTGGCTATGATCTGCCGATTGAGATCAATGCCATACATGCATTAGGTGGTATTGTGATTACACCAGTTGGAGATGTGTAGTTTGGCAGAAATCATGTGCAGCAATCTCCATTGAAGAAACTAACTTCTGTGCTACTTTTGGCCAGAAAGAGAAAGCCTGGGCTACAAGGTAGAAGTGGACCATGAACAAAGTACCAGAGCAGTCCCAGAATATGCAGTATCTAACAAGATCAGATCTGCATATGAAGAGGAGTTGCGGACATGGATTGCTGGCTGGTTGATACCATGCCCTCAGGAATGACTCTGACCTCCAAAGGGCCTGAACCCTTTGATAGCTGTTACACAGCCCAACAAAGACAAGGTGTGCCCGGTCTTGAATTACCAAGAATTGAATCACCACGTGGATGCGTTCACTGCTGACGCAGACATATGTGCTGCCATATTCTGGGAGTAGCACCAGCAACATGTTAATGTGACCTTGGTTGTTCTACTTTGGGCATATGTCCATGAGTCAATGTGGTTGTTTCAAATGGTAATAATCAAAGGAAAAAGGTACTGCTTGGTGTGTGTAGGATTCAGTCTCAATGTGGCACCTCTCATTATGAAAGCCATCGTCAAGAATGTGTTGTCTCAAGAGGAAGTGACAATGAGAGCCACCTCATCTTATATTGATGAGATATATGCAAATGAAAGCATAATGTCTGCAGATGAGGTCACGGAGAAACTAGAATCTTTCGAGTTGACCAGTAAGGATCCAAGCTCCTGTAAGATGGGGCTCTAGTATTGGAACTTGAAGTCTGGTGAGAGCATGACACTCTATGGTGGAAGTCAGGAAGTTCAGTTCTGGAAATCCCTACTGTAATTATGTGCTATAACATCCTTTCTACTTGTGGGAAGTTAGTAGGACACTTTCCTGTATGTGGGTGGCTTCATGCAGCACTTGGAGTAATGAAGAGGCTAGCAACTGCAGTAACAAAGGGATGTTATGACATCCCTCTCAAGCAGATGATGGCTGAAGTAATCACCAAAGTGCACTAAAATGATCCTGCCAGAGGTGACTGGTGCATAATTGAAGAAATTAACACCTGGGTTGACACAAGCTCTCTAGCGATGGGCATGGAGTTGGAAAGACATGGTGATATTCTTGAAGACACACATTGGATTCATCCAACAAATGATGCTCAGCATATCAATTTGGCAGAACTAAATGCCACACTAAAGAGTCTTAACCTTTCATTACAGTGGCAATCTAAGTTGGTGCACATATATACAGACTCTGTATGTGTTCACTACTTGTTGACTGACACCTTGATAAGCAAATCCCAAGTAAGAACGAAAGCCTTGAGCGAGATGTTAACATGAAGGTTGTCAGTTGATTGACGAATAAAGTTTGGTTGTTGACGTCACCTTGATTGCATTAGAGCAGAATCTAGCAGATAGGCTAACTCAAGTGCCAAAAAGGTGGTTTGACATTATCAAACAAGGGGCTGATCACGTGCGCTGTTTTAACAGACCAATTGGCACTTGAGCAGATTTGTGCCATACACCATCAAAGTGGACATCCTGGTGTTTAGTGTACAGCCTACATTGTCTGAAAAGTGTCCCCCTTGACTACAAAGGCAGTTGGCAATACAAGATTTCAAGGAGTGTCAGATGGTAGACTCAGCCCCAGTCCATTGGCAAAAGAGGAAACTTGAAGTGGATAGCAATTGGTGGTAGTTAGGCATGGACATCACACACTACAATGACACACATTTCTTAACACTCACAGATTGTGGTTCAATGTGTTTCACTGTTTGGTATCTACTGATTGTCATATAACTACAGGTAGTATTCTGTGAACATTGTCCACTGGTTGAGATATTGATGGACAATGCCCCAACCTTTTGTGGCTGAGACTTTTGGGCTTTTGTAGACGAATGGGTAGTGTGGGTGCAATACTGATGTGCCTACATTCCAGAGGGTAATGGCATAGCAGAGTGATGTCACTGCACCATTAAAAGAATTGCAACCAGAATACGGTGCTCTCTTCAGGAAGCTGTGTATTGGTACAATGTGACCCTGAAAGATGACTCCACTCTGTTGACTGCACCAGACAACGGAATTTACCAGTATGAACAGTGTGTAAAAGGGATAGATGCATCACTACTGTCTTGTAACAGTGTAAATAAGTATCAAGTGAGAGACAGTGTCTAGGTCAAGGCCCCACATAGCTGATGTACCAGCAAATTTGGTAAAGGGCAAGTTGATGGGATAGTTAGCCCCCAAACAGCATGGATTAATGGAATGCAGCGCTATGTGAAAGGCCTACGATCATGGTACTTGCATGACTTTTTTACACCTATGAAAATTTGACCTGCCGCTCAAGCTACAAAAAGTGCTTGACAATGTGACAGAGCATTGTGACTGTGGTAGCAAACAGGAGATATGTATGTTGGATTATTTTGACTTGCACTATGCTGTTTGAAAGAAATGAATTAGGGAACTTTATTCCGAGCTTGAAGAAACTGACTACAATTTCTTTTAAATAAAGAACAGATTCGCATAATTAAAGTATATATCTGTTTATTCTTTAAGATAAATAATAATCAATGTTTGTGCATGTACTTCTGAAAAAATTCACCACCAAAAACTTAACAAATTCAGACAATAAAAAAAATGCAAATATCAGTGATGTAAGCATTTTTCAGACTTGACATTTTACATTTTGTAAATAACTTAGTCCAATAACAGTAAAAAGTTGGGTTTCCATTTCACATTGTATCATGAACAAGACATCCCCTTCTAAATCAATAAAATGTCAATATCTTTTGATTTAGACAAATATTTGTGGCTTGAGGTAGTTCTGATGAAAGCTAATTATTCCCTGAAAAAATCCCCCATCCAACTTTTTTTTTTTTTATAAACAAGTGGACCAGACTATTTAAGTGTCCAATTCCCATTTGAACAAAAACTTGGAAAGGCCAAGTGTATGTTTCCTAAAGAACCAAAGGTGAGATATCACTATGGTGAGAAAAAAAAAACAAGAATCCTGTTTTCAATATATTGGGTTCTTTATTCATGAATTCAACCGGCATGGTGTGGGAGTAAATAGGTGACACTTAGGACATTTTTGCTGCTATTTTTATCTTTTCTCATGACATACTAATCGACCAGCTTTTTCCCTTCAACTAGCGGAAACTCTGACTACCACTCTATCCATCTTTGACACCAGACTCTTTCCTACCACCCTTCCTTCCATCTCTACATCTTGATGGATGGCTTGTCACTTCTACATGGACAGATTCTGACTGGCCATTCTAGAATGTGACCAGATGATATAAGCCTATGATCAGAATTCTCAAGTAGCACTTGATCTTGGAATTTTTAATTTATTTACTTTTTTTTCTCTCTAATTGTAGACAATAGGTGTTTGCATTAAAGTCCTCACATTTCAATTTTGCTATTGGATTTTGTAAAACCAAACCCAAGTGAAATCATTTACAGTCCACTTGGCTGTGTGTGTCCTAACCAATTGAGCAAAGACTCATCATGTCACATTATTTCTACTACATTGTAATAGCCTAGTGGAATAAAGTGTTGATTCATAGATTTGGTGACATAGTAGTTGGGAGATCAATCCCTGGGCCAAGTTGTGTGTATTTGGACTCTGTGGAAATGTGGTAAGCAATAACTGAGCAATAGTAAAAACTAAGAACTAGATGAAATATTCCAAGATATGGGCAGTGGAGCAAGAACCACCTACCCCTATAGATTTAATAAAAGGTTCAGTTCAGAATTCCCTCCAGGTTAACTGGATTGGCATACTGATGAAGACCAGAAAGCACAAAGGCCAAAACATTGTGATAACAACAAAGATGATGACAATAATCCGCATGTAAATAGTATAAATAATTATAACTCCTCATGTCAGAAATTCAAACAGAAATGTATCATAGGAGTTCAAAATATAAATAAGTGAATTGCCTATTGCCTGTCTATGTAGATGACACTATTGCTAATGTAGAAAAGTTAAACACACAGTTTTATATATCTGGATTTTTTTATTTCATTATATCTGAAAAGTACTACTAAAATGCAAATTGGTCAGTCTTAGTCACAGTGAAATGTAAACTTAAATTGATTTCAAGTCTTTAAAAACTTGAGTCTATTGTGTCTTGTTTAGAAGTCCTGATATATATATTTCTCTCTATACTTGGAAAACTGTCAAATTGTATGAAAATATTTCCCTGATTTGCCATTGACAGATCAAAATATTAAGATGATTTTTCATATTCTTGTTTATTTCTTCATAAATTAAAAAAAAATGTGTTAATTTCAGCAAAAACTGAGATCTGAGAATAATTAAGATTTTTTTTCTTTGTGTCATTGTGAATTTTTAAGAAAACCCTCTATGGACATATGGTTTGTGCATAAATTCCAAGTGTTTTTTTTTAATTAAAAATAAACTTTACTACTGTGCATTCAGACCTCTTTTTTCAAAAAGAGTAAGCTGGAAATTTTTGTACACACTTAAGGTTTATACAGATTGTTGCAAACAATTTTACTACTTGCTATTTATTGGGCCTGAATGATTGGGTTTCTACTTTATCCATCTCCCAAATTCCATATTAACTGCTGTTTGGTTCAAACAACATGCACAAACTTGTTCTTTTCAGAAATTAATTTAATGTGAGTGATTTGGAGTCATCTTGTTATTGAAACAAAAGAATTTCTTGGTAGCACTCTTTTAAATGATAGAAAATATTTTAAAATGTATTAATACATTATGAATTATTATGTGGCACAGATGCAGATTTGCATATAGCAAACACCTGTCAGGGCACATGTATTAAAAAAAAGACAAAACACTTGAAATCTTTTGTATTCATTTGAAAAAGGAGGCTAATGTGTTTATTTTTCAGATATTTAAAATATTTTATTTCTGAAATTAATTTTGGTAAGAAAATGTTTTATATTTTTCAGTCCTATTTGCTTTGATATTATTGATGAAGCATACATGACCCCATGTGGTCATACATTTTGGTAAGTAATTTTTTTTCATCTCTTAAAATCTTTTTTTCAGAAATTTGACAATAATTTACCAATGTTTGTCAAGTGAATTAATTTTCACAGATTCAGTTATTTTTTTCATTGTAGACTAATTTATCTATCTACATATCTGTACATATATACATACATACTCACAATTTTTCTTTTTTATATCAGCTAAAATAAAAAAAAATACTATCATGAAGTTGAATAAAATCGTTTTGAAAGAAATTGTTATATATATATATATATATATATATATATATATATATATATATATATATATATATATATATATGGAAAGTTTCTGGACTGTATAAGTTGTGATTGTATCAATCAACAAATGTGCATGCAGCTAATACTCATTAGTACCCTGGCTACTGAGTCAGTCTGCCAATAGGCTAAATGTTATTTATTGATGTTCACTTATTACATTTAATTTTGTAATGTGTGATCTTTATGATGCTTGTCAAATCTGCTACTGAGATCCTCAAAATGCTTTGTTAGGTGAAAATTATTTTGGCCAAACTTTTTTTTTTTTCGTTACTGGCATGTGTATCTGAAAGTCAGTTCGAAATGGTCATTCAAAGTGACCAATCACCAGGAAATGTGTAAAAAAAAAAAAAAATTTGATAGAGACCAAGTGGATTGTCGCTAAACAGTCCATCAGTTCCCACATAATTGGATTCTACCAGGTGATCCTGGTCTGGAAACTTTTCCAGGTTCACTTTGTATTTAGATTGTGTAGGTTATGAAAATTCAAATATAGAATCGCGGTAGTTATTAAAATTGGCCAATATTTTTAACTGAATGTTATATAGGAACCTATCAATTGTTTATCAGTTCCAACCTGAACAGGACCAGATTTAGTTTAGCATTCAACAAAAAATAATATTGATAGCAGGAAAAAAAAAAAGAAATAAAACTTTAAGAAATCATACTTATTATAAATTGTGAGAATGAAAGGGGGACAACTCATATCGAGTTATACTTATAAAACCCAGGTTGTTTGTGTGTGTGTGTATTCGTTTATATATGGGATCGGATTTCCTACATTTTTCCACAGATTTCAAGAAAACTTCACTTTTTTTTTTTTTTTTTTTTTTTGGCAGGTAGTTTCTTATTGTCTTGCACACTTTTTTCTTTATTTTTACATTCAGAATGCTTTAAAAATTCCATTTACAAGACAATTGTTTATAATAAAATTCTATTCAATCGGTAGACTCATAACGATTGGAAAAAAAGTTTTTGTTTGGGTTTGACCAATTCGTAAAAAAACAAAACAAAACAAAAAAAAAATAATTAAGACATGCGTGTCCGTCAACCTTAAACAATAATCTTTGTCAATTTTATTTTTCAGTCTTTATGATGGTTGATACTTGATCTATCTCTTACTGTTACATCCCCGGGCAACGCTGGGCTCTACTGCTAGTCTTAAATATATTAACATGTCAAAAATGGTAAATTAAAAAAAAAAGATTTATAAGAAAAATCTTTATGTAATCTAAACTTCTTAAGGTGCTTCTATAATATTATTAAAAAGTAAATACAGGTAAAATGGTAATATTAATATAAATAATATATTTATTTCTCAACTGCTTTGGTAATTGGGTACTTGTTTTCTTGTGAAATTCCAGTGGGAAATGTATAAAAACCTGCATTGAACAAATCAGCAGATGTCCTCGGTGTAATACCTCAATTGACAATGATGAACAGATATTTCCAAATGTGATGTGTAAGTACATAGTTATTATAATTTATGTTGAACAAAAGTATCTATTACTGTTTTTGAACATGCACATTACTTAATAATAAAAGTAACTAATATGTATCTCTCATCTTGGCTTGTATATTGTTTGTGTGGGGAGACAGGAGCAGAAAGAGCCACAGTCCAACCCATTTTCCAAAATATGACCAAACAAACTTTTTAACAAAGCCTGACTGAGAACTTTCCAGCATCTCCTTGTACATGTTGTGCATATTCTTTAAGTGAAGATATTATTTTTAGTGATCTCAGAGTTTACACTACTAAATTGTAATTTTTTTTTTCTTTTTGTGTTACAATTTATATACATTTTTGGATCTTGAAAGTGCATGTTTCATTTTTGCCTTTTTATGTGTGTGCTTTGAGAACTTTTCATGTAGAATAGGAATTTCTTTTAATTTTGACTTTATTGATATATTTTATGTGAAAAAAATCCATGTATTTAAATTTTGTAGGAGAATGTGTCCATTAACTTTATATGCATTATCCTAATCAAATTAAACAAACCACAAATGTCACAACATAAACTGATAAATTAGTACACTAAACTTTGATCATTACTTTCTTTCTAAATTTACTTCTAACATTAATACTGCTAAAAATAATTAAAACTCTAAACATTTTTTTTTATTTATTTATTTTTTTCTTAGTAATTTCCAGAGACTATTTCCTGTTCTTGTTTCCAATATAGTTTCACTTAAAGCAGTTAAAATTACTGATAGGGTATTTTAAGGTTAGTTTATTAGATTAGAATTCTGAAAAGATAATTAACCCTTCAAGAAATTAACTGTTATCGAGCTTGATTTACTGGATTAATAAGAATCTAGATAAATTTTTTTTGCTATATCAAAAACAAGAATTGTCTCTTAAAAATCTTTATTAATGATATTAAATAATGCTTGCTTTTTTTTCTTTTTTCTTTATTTTAAATGAAATGTATACCTATAGCTTCTTAAACTTTTAGTTTGCCTTGTTGACAAACTCTAGAATATGCCAATTGTCTGCAGAGTGTAAGACTCTTTGAAAAGGGTTAATTTACTTGGACACTTGGGTATAATCTCAAACAACGGTTGGTATATTGTGAAATCCATCACCCAAACTCAAACTCTTAGTGGCGTTTTTATAACATCTGCAACTTGAACATTTTCTAAAGTATATCAGAAATTTTTTTTTTTTCTTTCCTTAAGGTCTAATATTGTTCACTAAATTTAGCAAGAAATTTATTTGTACAACTCATTCCAGTATGGAGAAGCTTTCAGCTATTATTTTAAGTCTTCAATGAATTGGATGGAGTATTCTCATTGACTTTAAAACCTTAAAATTGAAAAAAAAAACTAGTGTTTTAAGATTTTGAAGGTAAAATTACATGAAAAATGGTTTGGTATTTGAACATAATACAAAAAGTACTATTTATGAATAAAAAAAATATGTATAAATGTAGAATGTCTTTAATTTTGTTTCTATTTTTAATTTATTGCAGTAAATGAATTAATATTGAAGTATAAGATTAAACAAGAAGAAAAACAAATGAGGCTACAGGTGAGGTTTTAAAATGTTTGACTTGTCTTTGTAGTTGATATTTTTTGGTTTCATGTTTTTCCAGTGATTGAAACAATGTTTTTTTTTATATTTTTATCAGAATGGTGGAAACTGTCCTATAGGAATCCATGACATATTAGAGGAAAATCTCGATCTTGCTCATGTGAATCAATTTTTAGAAATATTGAAACTTAAAAAATTCCAACTAGAGGCAGTAAGTACTTATTTTACGTTGTAAACAATCTATATACAATTTTCTTTAAAAATGATAAACTGTCTACAACAATTTTATTATCAATGATAAACTATTTTTATGATTAAACAAAATACTTGTTATAAGTTTGTGAATGTGCGTCTAAATAATATAATTGCTGTATGAGAATATATAGTGAAACAATGCTGTCACCATACATTGTAATTCCTATGTCAATGCTATATCTATAAACACTCACTCTGATATCTAGCACTTCCTCTACATGCATTTAAAATTTAATATATATATATATATATATATATATATATATATTCAGTGTACATCTAACTGACCACAACTAACACTTTGTGTGCTGTGCATGCAGTCTTCAGTTGTTTGCCACTGGTCTGTTCAGTGATATGGGCACTTTTGACGTCTCAGCTGACTTAAGATATTACAATGGGATTCACTGGGGAATACTTGTTATGTACTCATCAAGTAAAGTAACTGAGGGGAAACTTTTTTTTTTTTTTTAATCAATTCACCCCAAGCAAGGCTGTAATGTCACTAAGATGCAAGGGGCTACTGGAATTTTTGTAGTGTTTTTCAACTGTAGTTTGAACACTTGATTTTGCTTCACATGTGACTGAAATAAGCCTTGTAAGGCATTTGAAAACACTTGGATACATGAATCATGATATTTAGGTGACTCAGAATTTAATAGGAAAAAAATTTAATGGGCTGCATTTTCATCTTCAATTCTTTGCTTAAATGCAAGAAAAATGAACTTTTTTCTTTTTTTTATTTAAAAGAATGATCATAGGCAATGTAAACTGGATTGTTTACAACAATGTGGGGCAAAAAAAGGGTCCTGGGGGAGGGTAACAAAATTAGTCACTAAAATGTTTTAAGTTTGTACAAACCACTGCACACATGATCCTTGAACTGTTATAATCAAACCTTCAGTCACAACAAAGCATCTCATTGTTACAAATTCGGGATAAGAACTTCAGACTAATGCAAATGGTACATTGTATTAGTAATTTTGTGAGGAAGGGAGATATGTCGTATGATACTGTATCTAATTTTACTGTAGAAGAATCCAAAATTAGGGCATTTTTCACATTAATGTATCATTTTCTCTTAATCAAAACCATATTCTTTCAGTCAAAATTAGGTCCACACACATTACAATGAATGAATGACTAAAGCATTGAGTGTATGGTTTTGTAAAAGATTCCTTTGTCTACTCATACACATGCTGCTGAAACAAATGCATACACTTATTAAAATTTTGAAAATAGACCACCCACTGTACTTTATTTGAATCCCTCTTGTTAAAATTCCAAGCAATATTGCATGTTATGAAAAATGGATGCTCATTGATCTTAATTGTGTACAAGTAATATATTTTATTACCTGATGGATGTGTGTATGGTGCAATAAATAGTGAGTTGGAATGAAAAATTGGAGAGATGAATTTGAATTTCAGTCAGATTCACTTATGCACAAATACCCTTGGGAAATGTATGAATGCATCTCCTTCCAGCTATGGGTTAATTAGCAGGTCTTGTATCTGGAAGAATCATTGTTAATGCAATATTCACTTAAAATTTTTTTTTTTTTTTGCAGTCTAAAATGTTTGTTTGAAATAACCTACAAAAGGTTGCTAAACCATAAAAAACAAAATCAATTCTGTTATTTTTCTTTCTTCAGTAAAAAGTTCCCTAGGCTCATGATTCAATTAAATTTTAAATAATTGAAAAATTTGAGAGGCAAGAGTATCATCTTTTATTTAAATTCATAGATGTCTTGCCTATTTATTTCTTAAACTATTTAATTTTTTTTTGTAATATTATATATTTTGTAAATTCCTGCTGCACATTAATGATTAATTTATCCTTTTCTCCTTTTCAAGATAAATAGAAACCAATTATTTGATCATTGCAAAAGTTTATGCCTGATTAGAAAATTAATGTTATTTTCATAGAAACGTTTTTTTTTTGTTGGAAGAAGGTTGTAAGTTGCAGTCAAATTTTTTGTCATTTAAATTGTTCTGCAGAGGCTAGAACAGATTAAAATCCAAAGGAGCCAACTCAGGAGATGGTGGAAAGTTTGTTGCAACATGTTATCTTGTGTTGGAAAATTACACCTTTTCAATTTGGCAGCTTTTCTTGAAAGCAAGTCTTTTTAAATGCCAAAAGGCAGATGAGATATTAATTTTCAAACTCTTAGCAATCTTTTCTGTTGAAATCTTTGATTTATTCTTCACAATGATAATGTCTTCATTGATGTCGGAAGGTCACTTATAGCGAGCTTGATTGTTTAGGTTAAAATCACCCTGACAGAATCTGCCAAACAACATTTTGACCATCCGAAGTGCTGGAGTACCATCCAAATAAACCTTCTGAATGTTTTTTTTGTGACTGTTCTGATGCTTACTACTTTTCCGAAATTCATTGAGCATAATATGGCGAAATCTTCATTTGTAAACAAAACATCAACATTCAACAAAGTTTGACTTGCAGTTGAACAATACAAAATTTCAATCAAGAACACACCAGAAATCAGTATCAAAGCAAACACCAGTTTCAAGTTGGTCATTTTATATTAACAATAAAAATCTGATGCAAACTCTTGCAATGATCTGATATCTTTGTTCATTTGAAATTCTTGAGCAGGTACGACCTACATGCGATTTGTCTTTTGTTTCTACTTATATTTGTTTTCTTTTTAAGGATGGCAAGCGAATTGAATTACTTATACTCAAAGATTTTCTTAATCAAGTACGGCAAAAAAAGCAAGAAGTAAGATTCAAGTTTTCACATAAGTTTTACAATATAGTATTTTCTTTAAATGCTGTTAATCTCATTTCATATAATTAGATACAAAGCATACAGGCAAGTATCATACCTGTCACAAATTGATAAATCTCATTTTACTACAAAAAAGAAATAATTTACTAATAGAATTTTCCTCTTTTAACAAAATTAATAGAATTGTATTCAAGTGTTTTATTTTGGTGAGAGAATTCTTTTTGCATTAATGAATGAACACCAAAAACCTTTGAATTTAATAAATGTTTGAAAAAATTGGTATTTTGTTTTTATTAAAATAAATTGCACCATTTATTTATTTATTTATTTTTTTTTTTCAGTCCCTTGACCAGCTAACACAAGATTTGAGGATTATAGATGAAGATAGCAAAAGAGTAGAGGTTAGTGCTCCAAACTTTCAAATTTGACTTGCAGAAACAAGTTTGTTGGCCTTGTAAGTTCGATTTAAAATGTTTCTCAGTCTTTTATGGTTCCTATAATAAAGATTTAATATTAAAAGTATTAAGGAATCTCTCTCTCTCTCTTTCACTCAAACATACAGGAATTGACTAAGTGTTTGGTGATTGGGTCGATGGAAGCACAGATGGATTATATTGCATACTTGACTTTTTTTCTTTTTTTTTAACCATGAAATCTTTAGTAACATGCTTGTCACATTTATATACGATCTTAAAAACATAAGTTTACAGCATATATGGCTCTATTCTCAGGATATTGAGTACTATATGCAAAAAATAACTTGAAGTTACATTTCAGTTGAGTAATTACTTGTTTATATTATGTACATATGTGAGATATGTATAGTATGTTTCCTTTTGTCTAGAGTTATATGTAGAGGGGGGGTGTAATGAATTGTTTTTGTTGTGGACTGGGCATCACTCTGCTTTTTACTATAACAATTTCTTGTCATTGAACATTTTTTTTTAACCTGTTTTCCATTGAGCTTCATGCCTGACTTCAAATTGAATGGTGATCACTTGCTCATCTGTCAGTCATTTTATAGACACTAGCCCTCAGTAGTAGTGACATTAATATTTATATATCTAACAAATCTATAAGTATTACAAAAGAATTTTATTTACTTTTGTCAGGAGAAATATTTATATTTTGTATAAAAATCTGGTATTTAATTTTTACATATTGATATTGGCTATGTGAAAATATTTAAATATATTACTATGTATTATTGACCTCCCTCCTGCTTTAGTTTTGATGTATGAAATGATTGATAATTTTCTTTCTGCAGGATGCAATTGCTGATATCCAGAAACATCCAGGCTGTCCAGTAAGTGCTTTGCATTTTATTTATTTTTTTTAATCATCAAATAACAGCATTTTCTTTACTTACATAAATGTGAATGACAGTCTGTCTTCCACCTTTCATTTATATATTTACTAAGTAATATGTAACAGACTTGTGTGTGAAGCGACAATTTTCCACCATAAATGAACTTTTTATATTGAAAAATGAAAAATACCTAAAAAATATATAAGAATTTATTTATGGATTTTGTTTAATAATGAAAACAAATTGTGACTTAACTAGAACCCATTTAAACTACTATGGTACTGTTTTTTTTAATAGCATTTTATTAAAAAGAAAAAATATTTAGTAATACTATGATTTGAAATATTTGTTGATAATAAGATGAATAGAACATGAAGTATTTAATCAACATGGCATCTCAGTACTGTATAGCTTGTGTAACCACTATTGTCTGCTTATATTCTGTGATATCTTGTAATGTTTAAAGAGTTCACACATGTTTAATATAATGTGGCTTGTTCATACAAAATAATTATAATTCATATACTACTATGGGGATTAATGTTTTTGTAATATTGCATCTGCATTGCACATTGTCTACACATATGCACTCCACTTTTTGCTTGACACTTGCCAAATGGTGAGGAACAAATGTCTATTTTATAATTTTTAAATTAATTTGTGGAGCGTAATTTCTATTTAAGAACAACTACATATATAACTTTGTATAGTTAGCCACTCGTATTTGAGGATACCCATCTACTAGGGTGGATAGCCTACTTTTATTGCAGATGCTTGCTCAGGTGCATTTGTGTTTATTCTACACCCAAAGAGCCCATCCATGGTTTATATTGCAACTATGCTGAGCAGACCTTAGTTACAGTTTCTGGGACAGAGTATGATCAACAGTTTGTACAAGGCCAGCACACTCAATCTTTTGGCCATGATGACTTTGTGCTAGCACAGCTAGCAGATGGTGAGATTCGAACCCGAGTCTCATGGTCTGAATGCAAAGGTTCTAAACACTTTGTCATGTGCCCATGATATATATATATATATAATTTATTTTTAATACATTTTTTATGTCAAACATTTTTTGTGAGCACCTTTATTTGAAATAGATGTTTTGTTTTTTAAACAGTGTATTACATCTACTGGCCTGTATACTCAAAAAACTTAAAATACCTGAGAGCACATTTTAAATTTTCTTGTCTGCAGTGCACAGGCTGGTAAATGTTATCTACACTGCTTAATAACAGGGTGTCTATTTCAAACACGTGTATCTGCTAAAATTAATGTTTGAAGCAGAAAAAAATTATGCATGTATGTATTGCTTCCTTTATGATGGCTAAATTCACTGTCAACGTGCAGGTTCAGGACTAGAAGCTTCTAGTTTTACCAAAACCTTCTTCCATCATTCATTGCCATTTGGCTTTGCAAGAGTTGGCTGGAGGTGAAAGAAAATCATAGTAGAAGAAAATTCCGATGGCATGAATTTGTTTAAAGGTGGACCTCAACTTGTCAGGAAGTGACTCACACGCTTCATTTCATGACTTTCCTCTGTTGTACATATAGTTTGAGACATGCAAAATCCAGTTATGAAACTGCAATGAACTGCCACTGACTTTATAATTTTGAGTGGCACTTTTTGTAGCATGTCTATCATGTGTAGCTCTCTTCATCTGCTGATTTAACCATGGAGATCTGTTGTAATCGCCATCCGCTTGTTCCACCATTGGGGTTTTGGGGATGATTCTGTGTGTAATGACTGGAAACATTAGCAGTTGACCTAGAGCGAACCCCATACTGTTTATCACTCAGGAAATTTAGTTTTGAAGCAGTAATAAATTTGTTAATAACCTCATAGCTGATGACATTAAGGAGGCTGATGGGGCAATATTGTGATGAGGATGAATGCTTACCTGCATTCTTGAATACAGGGCACACAGCCAAGACCTTCAACTTGGGGGAGGTGGGAAACATTTCTCTCTCATGCAGCAGTTAAGCAACTATACAAAGATTGGAGATAATTGATTTATAAAACAGCTGGACTTTTATCTCTGACAAGTAGTTTTTGTAGAGAAGCCCCCCCTCCTCTCAACCCCCAGTTGAAATGGTGAGATTACAAAGCTTGTGCTGAGAGGTGAGCAGTCAGGTAGAGGATGAACTTGGTTGTCTAGCATGGAGTTTGAGGCAGTTTATTGCATTGTTGGAAGATGATATAATCTCTGGTACACTTATAATAATAGGCACTGATAGTTTGTCTCTATTAAGAATCTTGTTGGTGATTTTCCAGAATTTGCAGGAACCAAGTCTTTTGTTTTCAATTTTGGCTTAAACTAACTGTATATAGACAGTCTTAGCATTTTCCAGAACTTTCTTGCAATAAGCACAGTCAGTTCTGGATGCTGCAAAAATTTGGTTATACCATTTACTGTGATAGAGATGGTAGTAGTGGTTATGGTGAGCTATGACAGCAGCACATTCAGGTGTGTACTAAGGCTGCCACATCTAACTTTTGCTGTTACGTCTTGTAAGGGTTAAAACTCAGAGACCATTTGCAGAAAAGAACAAGAAGTAAGGTTTGACTGCTTGAAGATAGTTCTAACTTCTGGAAAGTTAGAATGTAAACTACTTATATTTGTGTAGGTGATAGAAAAGGGATCTACTTTGTTTTTGGAGATGTGGGTTCAGTTTGCTTTAAGCATTGTCATGGTTTTATAGGGATGAAAGTTGAAGAATCAAGCTAGTGAAACAGCAACAAACAAGTATGTATAAATTATCTAGATTAATTGTCAGAAAGTATAGCCATTTTATACATGTCATGACATTGAGAGGTCCTACTGGAACATAGCACAATCCAGATATAGTAGTATATACCTGCTGATGGATAACCTCTTTAGGAGTTACTGTAAGTTTTAGATCCCTGTACTGTCAGGCAGATAATGTCAGCCCAGAAAAAATGTTCTCCTCCAACACCCTTAATTGAAAGCCAAACAATCTAGAAATGAAAATAGACATGTGACATGAAGTAAACTGGAATCCTCAACCTAGAAACCAGGACAGTAGAACTTTAATCAGAATCATTGTACATTGACATTTCCTACTCCCACTGAATTCTATTTAGTTTTAATTTTATTATTTTAAATTATTGATGCCTTACAACTTAATGCTCAGTAGATGATAGTGATTAGAAAAATTATGAATAGAATGTGAGTGTAAAAAAAAAAAAAAAAAAAAGTTGAAATTGGAACAGCAGATGTAACTAAGGATTCTAAGCAGGACTAAATTTGAATATTGTTTAAGTTTTAACTTTGTTAAGGTTTTGTTACTTTTTACCTAAAAAGAAAAAATAGAGAAAACTAAGCATTTGGTAGCTAAATATCTATAAAACTGGTTTGACAGGGGAAATTGAAGATGTCCACCTCAGAATTTCTACTTCTATAGATGGAGAGTGACACTAAGGCATTTAATCCAGTATACTACAGGCTAAAAACAAAATTACAAAATAAAAATAAACAAATAATCAAGAGAATGTAAAATAAATAGCCAAAACTGTTACTTTTAACCTAAAGAAAAAAATTGTGTACAAATTTGTGCAAATATTGCTGGTAAATTTTAACCATTTAGTTTTTGACTTTTTGTCCTACTGTATTAAATGTTTTTTTTTTTTTTCTTTCTATTTTTTTTTCTCTCTCCCTTTCCATTTCTCTGCACAGAACAGTTTAGAAAGTGCCATTCCATCCACAAGTGATTCTGGAAGCCAAGAGGGCTTTAATGGAAGTAGAAATGTAAGTAAAATCTTTGTTTCTGGAACAAATCCATTCTTTGTCTGTCTCTCTGTTCATAATCATTCACACCTACTGATATATCTCAAGTGATTTGAGAATAGAGCATATCTTTGTTTAGGCCCACTTTAGGTTAGGAGGAAAAGATTGGTTGGTATAATAATTATGGGTATACCTAATTTGAGCAACCATTATATAGGCATCAAACAAGAAAGTGAAGGAAGAATAACAAGATTTTCAGCCCAAAATTATTTTTTCTTTAATTCTTATTCCTTTATCAAATTATTATCTTGGAATTTTAAACATTAAATCTTTAAACCTTTTAATTTTCTCATTTGAAGCATTTAAAACAAATACCTTCAGAAATATTGACCAAATATTTGAAATTGTAAAATTTGAAGTCATTAGAAAATTCTATATGAAATTAAATAACGTTGTTGTATTTTTTTTTTATTTTTTTTTATTTTTTTGCCATGTCCTTCCTTTTTTCTTTGGCTCTAAATAATCTTTGACTCTTTATAATTTATTCCTACAAACATATTGTCCCCCCCACCTTCCATCTCTTGTTTTCAGTATGTCTTGTCAGTATTAAATTCTCCAAGCCCTCTATCTTTATTATGTGTCCTACAAATTTCAGTTGTCTCTGATTGTAAGTACATTTCCTTGTAGTTCCATAAATTATATTGACTTCATAAGAACAATCACATAAAGTTATTTATTATGCATACTTTAGCATAGTCATAGTATTGGGGCACTTTGTAAGGATAAAATTCACTACATTAGTGAAGTGGCCTGAGACATGAGCTTGCTAATCATAATGCTATGGTAGGCACCCAAAGTTTCTATTTGGATTGATTGATCATTGTCTAATTTTAAGTATTAATTCCATCCTCTTTGGGAATTAAAGCTTTTGCATATATTAGATTATGGTGAAGAATCTGTTTTCATTGTGGCATCATTTGGATTAACAACAGAGCAGGCAAAAGGAAATCTTGCACAATGTTAATGTGTCACCATAGTTATTATTACTATTTTGTGTAAGTTTGTATACGTGTTAGTTTTTTTATAAGCATTTTCTTTAATGCAATTACAGATAGAAAAACATTATTTACAGACGACAATGGCTTCTCGGAGGAAAAAAGTTAGTCAACATTTTGAAGATCTTGAACAATGTTATTTTTCATTTAGGCAGACAGATTCCAACACTGGTGAGTTTGCTTTTTATTTTTTATTTATTTTATCTATTGTGGGTTAAAATTTTTACCATGATTTATTTCAACTAAGTGTTCGTTTTTGTTAGTTTTTGAGATGAGAAATTACCATTATGCACTTTGCTATTTAGATCAACATGCTCATCTTGATTGTTATATTCACAATGTTTTGGCCATTGTACCCTTTGTCATTCTTCAGGTGCCTGTTGTTGTGCTTGGTAACCTTGGAATTTTGAGTCAATCCAGAAGGGTAGTTCTTTCTTGTTCTGCTTTCCATGCTTATGGGAGACAACTCCTATCGGTTAATAATCACTAAACTTGTTTGTTTTATGTAACTTGTTCATTTGTTCCAGTGAGCAAGGATTCGTCAGCACTACCAGACATAGGGATTGACGTGTTGAAAAGTCACGTACTCTGATTCAATGGTGGTGGGGGAGAATGTAAAAGTGATATCAAAGTTGAATAAGACTGGTGAAATATGAGTTATCTCCCTTAAGCATAGAAAGCAGAATGAAAACAGTCTATCGTTGAGAATTGGATAAATGCTAAAAAAGAAAGAAGGTTGCAGAGTATGAAGATACACTTAAAGATAACTGGAAGATACTATGGCTAAAACATTGAATATCACAACCAAGATGAGTATGCGGGTTCAAATAGAAAAGCATATAATTTGTGTTTATAGTTTTAAATATATATATATATATATTAATATTTTTTAAATGACATTTTATTAATGCTAAGTTGTTTCAAGGGTTCTAGTATTTGTAATGGTTTTCATAATTTATAATACAGTATTTTTGTATTTGTTAAATGTTTTATGTATATGTTGGTGCCACAGTGTTGGGCCCAACTTTGAAACCCTTTTGTCATTGGATTAAATTTTGGGAAGTGGGGTCAGGCTGGGTCAAAAACTTCTCAACACTCTCTTGTATATATACTCTTATGAAATATTTTTTTGATAATTGTTTCACAAAAACTTTAGAAAGTATTGCTTTTTATTTATTTATTTTCTATTTGATTTAATTTGTCCCATATTCAAAATAAATTTAAGTAAAACCATTCTCACAACACAATGCTACTTCTGACATGAAACACATCTGTTTATATTCCATTATACATCATTGATAATGATCACCACAAGTGCATTGTTTTGTTTAATGATCAAAAGCAAACACTTTTTGGAAAATATGAATTGCAGTTGCATAAAAATTGCAGAGACTGACATGTCTACACTGTAAAACAATGCTGTCTGGTGGCACTAGGGTTGGCAGTACCGCCTTAGCTACTGAAACTGTTACCTCCTGGTTGGCAGTTGATGCAGGCAGGGTATCACGTGTACTTTCACATGTGGTATGTAGAAAAAATGTATAATAAAAATAACAATCTGTATGTCAATTCACAATTATATTTTGACATCAGTTGCTGCTCTTTTTAAATTTTTTTTTATTGGATTATTTTTTTTTTTTTTTTTTTTAGTTTCATCTGGAAAAGATGAGCTTGAAAATTTCATGGAAAGTCTTTACAAGTTTACCAGGTTTAGCTCTTTTCGCCCCTTGGCCACTCTCAGCTATGCCAGTGATATATATAATGGGTCAAGTATAGTATCAAGGTATGAAATTTTCATCATGTTTTTATTTTTTTTATTTTTATTACTTGTTACTCATTTCTTCTTGCAATTCTTAACATGCATGTTGTTCCTTCCAGCTGTGATAAAATTAATGATTTTAATAAAAGTTTGATAATTTAAAACAAAAATCCTTTATTTTCCAGTATTGAATTTGACAGAGACTGTGATTATTTTGCCATAGCAGGGGTTACCAAAAAAATAAAGGTAATGATTATTCAACAATTAACTACATTTAAATCACATTTGTGATTTATTAGCAATTAATTTGTTGGTTATTTTTTTTTAATATCATTTATTTTACCATTTTTGAAAACCTTTTTTTCATATATATATATATATATATATATATATATATATATATATATATATATATATATATATATATATAGAGAGAGAGAGAGAAAACAGGTTTTTACTACTGTACACAAAAAAATAAATTACCTGTTTTTATTGAACACTAGAGTGAGAAAAATGTTTTACCATTCAATGTTCACCTATTAACTAGTAAAATGGTCAGACAAACATTTCTCAATTTATGAGTGTGCTGAAAGTTCTAAGCCCAACCAATTCCCCACCCCCAATCTAATGTTTGGTCACCTTTTGGAAATTGTGCCAGGCAAAGGACTTTTCAACACATCCTTGTTGTAGTCATTGTTCAACACTTTCATTGTGAAACTTTAAATATTTACCTACCCTATATTCTCCCTTGCAGGTATTTGAGTATGATGCTGTCATAAATGATGTAGTTGATATACACTATCCTGTTCATGAAATGGTTTGCAACTCAAAAATCAGGTATACTTCTTTGATATTGGGTCATTTTTACTGAATTTAATTTTACTCTGTACACCCACATTAAAGATTTAGCAAGTCAAATTTAAATACTCTAGTGATTACACACTATTCATTTTCTTAGGAAAAATACTTTTTTTTTTTTTTTTTTTTTTTTTTTACCTAGTTATTTAGCCAAATAGCAATCTGTTTCCTCTTGATACAACCTTATTTTCCTGCAAGCAATAACAACAGAATTTAATTTTGAAAAAAATGTTTCCATATTTTGTTTGGAATAGTTTTTAATTTAATGCTGATTATGAATAAATGTTTCTTTTTCCCAATTTAAGAGACATTGCAAATTGATCACTCAACCACTAGCAGAATGATTATTATACTTTTTAAAAATATTAATGCATTTTATGTTTAAATTAGAAAGTTTAGCAATCTTACATTTTGTCTTCCTCTAAGAATATCATTTAATATGTTGAAAGTGACTTTTGGCAAAAACATTTTTCTAAGTCTCAGAAATTCATATACACATTTTAGTGCTCTTCTTGGATTGACTGAATTTCTTTTTTGCATGGACACTTTTCTTTACTGTAGCTGTGTGACGTGGAGTTCCTACCATAAGAATATGTTGGCAAGTTCTGATTATGAAGGAACTGTTACTTTATGGGATGCTTTCCATGGATTGAAAACCCGAGTGTATCAGGTTAGTTGAATTTATTTTTTAATTAATGGGAACATCTATGTATTAGTTCCATAAGCATGTGTTGGTTTAATTCTTTTGGATTTGCAATAAACTTAAAACCTACTACATCTATGGATGCATATGATACCTCAAAAGAAAGTGGCAACTGAACTTTCTAGGGCACATAATGCAGAAAGAGGGCTTGGAGAATTTGACACTCACAGGCCATTGAAGGCAAGAGCGACAGAAGAAAGCAGAGAATAACCTATCTAACAATCTTGTGTAATTGGATGGCAGAAGATGGATTGAGAAAGATAACAAAGACAAACCTTACAAAGGATAGGAAGTTGTGGAAAGCCATGATTGCCTAAATCCTGAAGGGACAGGGGACATAGAAAATGAATTTTAATTTCTTCATTATTTTTTTAGCCTAATAAGAGGTGTATATCTAGATTCATTAGTGGCTACTCTAATTGGTACTGGTAGGCACCTGCTCACATCTAAGCAATGGAATCCTCATCCTCTCTCCCTATTCCTTTTCTCACCTCTGGTGGCAGAGATGGCTGTGAATCAGTCCATTTGTGTGAATTTGATTTTGGTGGACAGAGAACCCCCACACACTTGGCCAGAAGTGTCTCTCTTGCAGCTCAAAGTACTCTAATTAAATTACATTTGATTAAAATGTATTGGTCAGTTATGTGCCATGAGTGATACACACTTAGGTGATCATGTATCTTTCGATACATGACTGACAAGGCAGATTTTTTCCAGCAGTAGGTTGCCATTTCTTTCTGTGGTAGACCAGTTACCATCCAAGGCTAGAGAACCTGGTCTGTCCTGCTACTTACCCATAGTTGGGGGTGTGAAGAAAAGGATTCATACTTTTCCCAAGGGTATTAACATAGGTACCTCCACGAGATCGCTAAAAAAAGAGCATAGCATGATGAAAAATGCGCCAAACTTGACGAAAAACAAAATTTTATCGCCTAAATGTTTATTATTAAGAGGAAAGGTCAAAGTATTTTTTTAAATATTTTTTTTCCATTTTTTAATCGTTCCTAGCACGTCCGAAATTTTCGTTAAAAATCTACTTTTTTTGAGTCAGCAAAATTGACCATTTTTTTCCATTTTAAAAAAAATGGAAATCTGACTTTGAAATTTTTTAAATATCAATTATCATTTTTTCAAAACTTATTTTAAGAAAATCAGAAATTATAACCCCGTTATTTTTTACGAAAAACTTTCAGCGGTCTAATTTTTTTTTTTTTTGTACTTAGCTTTTCACCTTTACATTTATGATGCTTTATGGGAAATATATTGTAAAGAAATTAAAATAAAACTGTTAAGAGTGACATTAAATTTCATATTTCTTAAGAAAGGTATCTAATTAATTTATAGGTACCTTTCTTATGAAATTTTATCAGAATTGTACATAAAATACTATAATTTTATGCACATTTATTACATTCTACTGTTATTTGTATTTGCATTCATTTTATTATTAATTTTGATATTTCATTTATGGAAAAATGTCGAACTGAGATTAATATAAAAATAAGATCATATAAATTTCATAAGATGATACTGATACTTGTAGGTACCCTTCTCAGTTGAAATTGAAAAATCAAATTAACTTCTCCACACGTGTTTCAAGAAAAGTAAAGGCCTTAACAGCGGAGAACAATGCTTAACTCAAATAACGCAACTTAATTATATTCTGGTTGGTCTTCCGTATTTTATAATTACAGCTCAATTATAAGCACAAAATTACATTTCTTAATTACTGGGTATCTTCTGATTAGTTAAAATGATACAATTTACAACGCTAAAAAAGATCTATCTCATAAGGACACTTATGAAAGCCGATCTTGACTTTTTAACTAATTTTATAATATTTTAACAACTTAAATGTAAAATCTATTATAATTAATGAAATAACAAATAATTAAAAAAATTCATTTTCATCGAAAAAATTTTTTTTGCTTTCAGAAAATATTGTCCATATTCATAAAAAAAACTAAAAGCAAATAAAAGCATTTGAAATTAAATAATATATTTGTTTTATTGAGTTTTGTATGTTACAATTCAGAGCTGATTTTCAGGTACTGCGATCCAATTAAAAAAACAAAAAAACATGATTTGCATTCCTCAAAGCCCTGTGCTTTTAATTATTGTAATCACTAAAATCGATGCGATCAATTTCTAGCGTTTTCATAAAATTAGTTATGGGGGGTAATAAATATTTAAAAAAAAATATTTCTACCATGACTTTCATAAAAAAAAACATATTTATAATAATTTCGATCATCAGGACAACCTTCAAAAGCTGGATAACACTTTGCAGATACCTCTCCCAAGTAAGACCCCCCCCATAGAGGAGAACATGACTAAAGACTGTGTGTATGCCATCCCGTGCAGCTGTGGAAAGAAATATAAAAGGGAGACAGGCCACCCCCTTAAAGTAAGGCTTCAAGAACACCAAAAAGCTGTAACACAAGAGGAAGTGAAAAAATCAGGTGTGGCTGACCATATGGAAAATTCGTAAACTTAAGGAATCAGCACATATGCTAGGCCACAAAAAATCTCCTGAGCCGACCAAACAGAAATGAATACAATATGGGAACCAGTAATAAAGAGTGACAGAGAAAAGCAATAATAACAATGAAAATTGCCATATGAGCTCTGGTAAAAAACATAAAATAACAGCAAAAATTGCAATATGAGCACTGGTAAAAATGGTTGCTGAAGACATTAAGTTTATAAGTCCCAAAAATTCATACACAGATGTCCTCAAGGACACATGGCACAGTGGATAAATACCTGGTTAAGCCAGTGGAGAACCTGGAGAGGAGAAATAATGACATCCATTAGACATGGCACATGGAACTAGAACAGTCTACCTCAGTGAGCGAAATAAAGGGTTCAGTTAGACATTCCAACCACCTGAAGAAGGTCAGAGCGTACAATGGCTGGAATGTTGTAATAAATATGGCAACAAAGATGAAAATGATAGTCCAAATAATGTAAATAGTGTACATAATGCCTCATCTCAGAAATATAGGCAGATACTGAAGTACAGTGTAACCCGGATATAAGAGATTTTCCCTGGTCCCAAATTAGAGCCTGTGTTAATGTATATAAATTAGACCAAACCCGGATATAAGAGACTTCTTCTCCGGCCCCGACAATTCTCTTATATCCGGGTTACACTGTATTTAGTTGTCAGATTAGAAATTAGTATCCTTCTGAGGTACTATAAGAGAATGAGAAAAAGAATAGGAATTAAGATAGAAGATAATAATGATTGACATTGCATTTATATTTTTGAAGATCAAATTTGACTAAAAAGCAAGAAGCTGGAAGAGTTCCACAAGCGAGAAGTGCAACAAAATAAATTGTTAGCATAGAACTTAGTTATGTCTCGCCATTTCAATACAAAATGATGAGACCTTGCTGCCAATTTAGTACTGTGCTTAAATTCATCAATAAATTTCTACTATATTATTATTATTAGGTTTAATAATTCATTTTTAACAGTCAATTGTGGATCTAAAAGTAATCTCAAGTAGAACAATAGATGGCAGGTTACTGAGGTAATGACTTAGTCATTGATATAAAGGGCTAATTTGGTTGGGAAGAATTAGGATTGTCTGTTACAACATTACCTTTCTAGATTATAAGACAAGTGCTGTATAGTTTTAAAACTTTGATAATGATTGCTATTAATTTGTTTGTAGTTTAAAGAGGGAAATAAATTATAAGTATTATATTGTGCTGTTCTACAACATGTGATCAACAGTTGTCTTCTCCCTGTCTCTTATTTTACTATACACTTTAGATCTCTTCTACTTAACATACAAATAGGTACAATACTATTTACCAATCCACAACAGTAAGAAATATACCACATTTATGATTTGGACATGGTATAAACTTTTATTTGGTAATCCATTCATCTGGGTAGCACATTTTTTTTAAAATTAAATTACCTATTAATGTTCTAAGAAACAAATACTTTTGGTTACTATTTGTTTTTATTTTGGATTCTATTTTTTCTAGGAACATGAAAAAAGGTGTTGGAGTGTTGATTTTAATCGTATGGACCCTAAACTACTTGCGTCAGGATCAGATGATTCTAAAGGTGAGAAATGTTTTATCAGCCGTTTTTAATTTTTTCTTTCTTTAGTTTTAATAACCGGTGAGAATATATTATCCACTGAACAGTTTGCATCAGGAAGGGTATTCAGTGGCAAAATATCATAGCAAAGACCAAAAGAGTATCGAAAAACTGTACTGATTAATTTCTTTTTGAAATCTAAATCATTTAATGTTCTCCTGTGTTTTATCAGATATAAAATGGTTACTTTGTTTTTGTTTCTCTTTTTTAATTTTTCCTCTTAGTTCGTTTATGGTCTATAAATGTGGAACATTCAACGACATGTTTGGAAACTAAAGCAAATGTCTGTTGTGTAAGATTCAACCCAGGGAGCCGATTCCATCTTGCTTATGGTTCAGCTGGTAAGCATTTCTCTTTATCTTTATAAATAGAACAGAAATATTTTACATCCAGGAAAGAGCAAACTTGTTTGCTACATTTATAAGTTGGTCATTACTCATTTTAATTAAGTAATGGTTGGTTTCTTGTTTCCATGTCTGTTAGGGTGGCTAATTCCTGTTGCAGATGTCCTACTTTAGCACATCTGTGTTTCTTCAAAACACACAGAACCAACCTGTGGTTTTATACTGCAAATATGTTGGGCAGTCTTCAGTTATGCTTTATAGGTGAGAACATTTGATCTGGTGTGATCAGTATAGAACAGTGGTGGGAAAACTTTTCAGGGCGAGGGCTGCATCAGTGGGCCATGAAAAATCAAAGGGCCATATATTTTAAAATCAGGCAGTGCACTCTGATACAACATATGGACAGCATAGTTAATAAAAACAAAGAAATTCATAATCTAGCTCAAGCAATTTAATGGGAAAAATATTTCTGGTCATAATTCTTTTAAAATCTAGCACAAAGTTGCTGGTAGAAACTCTCATCACTGCATTTAAGTTTGTGTCTGACTTATTTATCTTCATGCAGGAAAAACTCTGCTCACAGATGTAAGTGGAAGCAAAAATAGAGAATAATCTGACAAAAATTTCTTAAACATGGAAAGCATTGCATAGAGAGTGACTTGTAAAACTCTACTAATGGTAGGGAGTGAAACATTTCTTTCAATGAATGGTCAAATTGAATGTCTATCAATTCAAGCTTTAATTGATCAGGTGCTGCATCAACAGCAGAGAAAAATAAGAAGTTAAAAAGTTGAATTTATGCTCAATGTCTGAAATCCTCAAAACTTCTTTCAAACTCTTCACTCAAACTTCTCATCTGATCCTTAATTTTTGAGCACACATTTGCACTTTCTCCTTTCTCAACAATGAAAAATCTATGAACTTGTCCTTACTTGCCTTGAAAACAAAGATAATTTTACTTGAAAAGATTTGACATGCTTATACATTTCATGAGCCAAAGGTTCCTTTCCCTGCAATTTGACAATTAGTTCATTTAACTTTTCAAAGACATCAGCTGCTAACATAAGTTCATGTTTCCAATGATCACAGTCCATTTTTTTTTTAATAAATTCACAAGCAATCTCTTCCTCTCTTCGTAAATTCCACGCTCACTTCAACACTGCCAAGCCTGAGCCATTGTACATTGTTGTGGTAGAGAATATCCCCATGCTCAGCCTCCAGTAGGGATTTGAATTATCTGTGATTGAGTACTCTTGCCATGATGGTGTTTCCTACACTCTCACCACTGGATCCACTGCATGCTTTAAGTTATGTGCAGATTTACACAGATTTCCAAAATCAAAAGGTGCAAAATGCAGTGGAAAGACAAGAAGGCTTGAATTAGGATTGTCTTTTTTAATCTTGTCTTCCAGGAGTTTAACCATGCCTGCATTTTCTCCATGTAATTCCCAGGCACCTATCCATCCCATGATAATGCTCTTTTTTTTCAATTGCATTTACCAGACATTCATACAAATCCTGACCGGTTGTTGTATTTTTCATTGATTCTAGTGACAGCAATTCTTTGGTGATATGGAAATTCTCATCCACTCTACATACAAGAATTAATAACTGTGCAGTGTCTTGGATGTTGGTACTCTCATCTAGTGCTAACAAATAACATACAAAATCTTTATTGACATTCCTCAGCTGCTGAGTCAACTCCTCACTGATTATTTCTGTGTGTCACGCAACAGTCCTCTTTGATAATGAAATAAATGTTTTTGAATTTACCTTTCATTCTCAGGCATACAACACTTGCACAATCCATCATGCATTGTTTTATTAACTTGCTATCTGAGAATAGTTTGTCTTGAAATTCAATATGCCACCATAAAACTTGCCTCCAACACAGTATCATGAATTGATGATTGCTTCTTAAATAGTTTGGTGATGATTCAGTTTTGTAACATATTCCAGTCTTTTTCTTTTGTTCTTCATTGGTCATGTTGCAACCAAAATCCCCATGTTTTGTTTGGTAGTGCCACTTCAAAATGTACTCCTGACACAGTAAACATACCACTTTATTCTTAGAACTCATGAAGAAATACTTGTGTATCCATTCTTCATTAAAAGCACAACACTCATCCTCAATTTTGTTTTTTAGGAGGCATTTTTCATAGGGTTGGAGAGGTTGTGTTGTTACGTAGATGACTATCAACAATGACTGCATATATACAATATCATACGCATGCACAGAAAGTGTATAACCCTCAGAATATGGGGCATAGATTTCTATGACACTGAAAAAATTAGTGTTGGTTCAAGCATAAATATGTTGACTTTGATAAAATTTATTTATTTTACTTTTTTTTCTAATTTGCTGCAGACTTCCGTGGGCTGCACAAAACCCTGCAGTTTGCCCATTCCTAGTATAGCTGAACAAGACCAGTATGCTAAAACTCTCAGGTCACAATCAGACTTGTGACTTCATGATAGCACAATCATTAACAGCTTTCAAAAATCTTTTATCTACCCAATCTTTCTGTGTGACTAATGTTTTGGTCATTATTTACAAATTATTTGTTTGTAGAAAGGACCCACAATTTATCTGTGTCTTAATTTGTTTCTACCTACTTGGCTACACTATCCACTAAAAACAACAGTAAATCAGTATAGATATTTCTTGTGATATCATGTCTTTTTGAAAATGATTCTTTCATTAAGTATGTATTATATATATATATATATATATATACACACATGTAATACTGCAATTTCATTATATATTTTCTGCATGAAGAAAAAATGTTTTATGAATTACTCTTTTTTTTTTTTTTTTTTTTTTTTTTAACCATTTCATAACTCAAATGAGTATTGTCTTTGGAAATTGAGCAAGAAAGCTTTCTTTTAAGCTACAAAATGCATTTTTACTTTTATTTTGTTTTATCTCTCCATTTAAACAAAAACATGTCTTATAGCTGTGTATCAAAACAATGACTGAAGGTTGATATATTTGAGAGCTTGCTTAAAAAGTGAACTTTTTTTTTTTTTTTCCTAGACCACTGTGTACATTATTATGACTTGAGAAATACCAAACAAGCATTGTCGGTTTTCAAAGGTCACAAGAAAGCAGTTTCTTACGCAAAATTCTTGAATCCAGAAAACCTTGTATCAGCGTAAGTACTTAACTAGTTTTTGAAAATATAATTATTTTGTATAACATTAAATTAAAAAGCTGGTATCATAACAATATTCAATTTAACTTCCTTATCTTTATGGTCTTTCAATAGAAGTTTACAACTACTTCAGAAACAGGTTATGGAAATTATTACATAATGTCTGATCATGGAAACTTTTTTATAGACTTTAGTTAGTTTAAAATAAACTATTCTCTTTTCTTCTTTTTTTTTTTTTTTTTTTTTTTTTTTTATTGATATCGTGTAGATGCTAAAATACAGTTTTGTTTCACTGGCATGTCCATCTCTTCATCCCAGGAAATGTAAGTGCTTTTGTTATAAATTACTTAAGCTAAAATGTAAAAAAAAAAATGCTAGTGGCAAAACCAGGAAATATTAATTGGCACAAGAGAGTTGTGTTTAAATCACTTTGCCTCAGCTAGAATTTGATTATGATGCCAAAGTATGGAAATTATTCTGTCAACATGAAAAAAAATTGATTAAAAAAAAAAAAAAATTCTGTTGTCTCAAAAAAAACTTGTTTAAATGAACAAAATACTGACTAAATACAATATATATATATATATATATATATATAGATACATTTTTCCACACTGGTAGCACTATGATAGGATAAGGAACAAATAGGAAATGTTTATGAATTTAACATGTTTTGCTTTTATTAAATCTTCATAAGAGAATGAAATATGGAGGAGAAAAAGAAAATTCTGGTATGTATTTTTAATTTTTGTTGTTTGTACCAGAATTTTCTTTCTTATTCTCTTTTATATTTCATTCTCTGTTGAAGATTTAATAAAAGCAATTTGATTTATAAATGTTTCCTAGTTTTTCCTTATCATTGTCATATTCTAATCCATATTTGATCTCAATTCACATGTATATAAAATCTTCATTTTAAAGTTAAGGATAAAACAGGACTGACTGGGTTTTCTAACCTTGGTTGACAACTAGTTTAGAACTGGGAGTAGTGCCCTGTGGTGGATGCTAATATTTATTTCCTTCTGGTAACTCCTGCAGCTAAAGATGATGCCAGTGTCTAACAATTCCAGAAATGTACAGTGGATGAGGCTCTGAAAAAAGTGTAATAAATAAAAATTATTCAAGATTACAAAAAGGAGTAGCTTTCCACAATGCCTCCTAGTATAAGTGGATTAAAGAAAATTATGTATGTATGTGTGCACATTCACAAAAATTGTTGCCATTTCATGTTTTTAATTTTACACCTGCATGTGTTTTGATTTTATTGATTTCACAGTATTGTAGGGTTTGTTGGGCATCATCTGTGAGAAAAAGAGCTCCATGACACAATTCATTCTGCTAGAAAGTTGGAAATAGCATGCTGTACTGCTTGGTGTTTTTATTGAATAAAGTTACTCCTTAGTATTTAAAGATATTTTTGTGTAATTTTGGTGAATATGTCAGTATTATTTACATTTATGCTTAATTTAGATGACAATTTATCCATCGCACCGTGTGTGTGTATAACACACTCACTCTGTAGCTTTTGTATGTATATTATTGTGAATATTTTATTCTTCAGGTCAACTGACAGCCAATTGAAGTTGTGGAGTGTGAATAAGCCCAATTGCCTGCGTACATTTAAAGGACATATCAATGAAAAGAACTTTGTTGGTCTTGCAACTGATGGTGATTATGTTGCTTGTGGTGAGTAGTCTGTATGAATTGATAAATCTGCTTTGATATAAAGTTGTGAATTTAAAATTTACAAATGCCACAGTTTTCACAGTGATAAAAGAAATAAATTTTGTTATGACAAACTTTGAACTTTTTTTCTCTTTGCAGGCAGTGAAAATAATGCTTTGTATGTTTATTATAAAGGTCTGTCTAAACAGTTAATGACATACAAATTTGACACCGTCCGCAGTGTCTTAGTGAGTATTCGTGTTTTTTTTTTTTTTGTTCTCTCCATATACAGAGATTAAGTAAAAATTACATTGAATTAATATGCACATTTGAGAAAAGTCACAAAATGGCAGTTTTGTATTTTGAAAGCAGCAAATGGCTTAGTCTTTATGATCAAAGATCTTTGTGCGTGTCTGCTCAAAGACATCAGAACTGTCAGTATAGAAACATTGCTTGTTCTCTTCATTTTATAGGATAAAGACAAAAAGGAAGATGATGCAAATGAATTTGTAAGTGCAGTTACATGGAGGCCGGTAAGTTCACTATGCGTTTTCTTTCTCTGGCCTTTTCAAATTTTCTTTTTCTTTTTATTCATGTATGTCTCTAAGTTTTTTGTTTTATTCATGTAGAAAGGTCATCAATTATAAAACTATATAAATTGTTAATTTGAAAATCATCAAAAAATCTTTTGAGTTTTACCTGTGAAAACTATTTTGATTTTGAGTATTGTCTCTTGTTGATAAATTGTAAAAGACATGGATTAAATGAATGAACTTTGTTGGCCTAAAATTTTAGTGAAATTTCTTGTTACCATATTCAGTGAATTTCAAGGTTTGGCTCATTTTCAATGATAATTATAATTGGAAATTAATTTTTAATTTGATTTCAAATATTGTATGAATATGAAGCCCTCTTTCTCATACAAAGTGTGAAATAATTTAGTACACTGAATATTTGGAATTTAAGGTTTCAAATGTTATTTTATCAAATGACAGGATCCTAGATAAAACATCTTCCATATATGTATAACGTCTTTTTGCTGATGTAGTAGTTAATTTGCATAGAAAGACTTTTATTTATTTTATAAATAGCATTTATAATCAAATAACTTTTGTTTTACAAGTATTAGTAGCATATTATTCATCATAGATTCTATTTTTGCTAATTAATAAATATTTCAAACTAACTTTTGCTTCTTGAAATATGTGCATTTTCTTATTTTTGTCTTTTTCTATGACTTGTAAATATTTTTTCCTCTTTTTCTTCTAGGGTTCCAATGTATTGGTTGCTGCCAACAGTCAAGGCACCATAAAAGTAAGTAGGAAAAAGGTTTGATTTCCATGATTACCTAAGACTGTTGAGAACTGTACACATTGGTCTTTTATCAATAGTACCAAATATTCATGAAACTGTCTTAATAGGTATCTGTTATGGCACAGTTAGCAAGCTTGTCTTGCAGACCAATTTGCTATTATTGGGAATATGGTCTTCTTCAGGACTCCATTATTTTGGCCTTGTACCAGACTTTTTCTTTGTAAATAACCATACAATGTCTTAATTTTAGCTAACAGAATATTATTGAAACCCAAACACATCTTGGCAGAGATTTTGTTTTAGTCTCGACTGAAAAAAATAATTAGTTTTCAATACTTATTTACTGTCTTAATTTAAGCAGCTCCATTGTTTATTGAAAATGAAATTTCATATCTGATGTGTAAGTCAGCTTTGTCATGAACAAAATTTGCTGTTTTTGTATTGTATCTAATAATTTAGACCTGATAACTTTCATTTTGCATACATAACATTACAAATTGTAGAAATGATCAGACTAAGCACATTGGAACATATTGTGATAACTTAAATGTCTGAACTTTTGATTTTGGTTCTAATTGCAAGAAAATAAGTTATTTGTAATAGCAAAATTTATTTTTGTGTACTTAAACAGGTTTTAGAATGTTTTTAATATCAAATTTGCTCATTCAAAATTACTTTAATTCTGCCATGATTGACATCTACTGGCAAGAATTTAAATTATAATTAAATATTAAAAAAAAAAAAAGTCTCTATTATAGAAATACAGAATTGAATGAAAATTAGTTAATGACTTAACTCTATTTTGGAGCAATATTATTGGAAATGTTATTAAGAATGTTTACTATATCTGTTAACTGTCAATTTTCATTAACCATATGTGATAAAAGCTTGATTAAATTTATAAATCTCCCATGGGGCAGCTGAAGTATGGATAACCAAAATAACCTATTCAGGCTGTGAACTCATCAGTGCTTTCTAGTATATATTTACATGATGAGAAAGAATAATTAAGCTTACATTTTTTTTGTTTTTTTATTTTTTCTTAAACTTTTAATTTTAAACATTTTGACAAAGAAAATTGACTTGTATCTTGTGAGCAACAAATATAAAAAAATCAATGCATGCAAATGAAGATTTTCCTAATTAATTGGAATTTTTCTTCAGTTTTTTTTCAAAGGAAATGTGACATTTTCTTTTTTTTTTCTTTCAGGTTTTAGAGTTGGTGTGACTGGTGCATGTTGTGACTAGATGTAATGCAGGAACAATTGGACTCTGTCACACTCTACCGTTTGCAATGTGGTTGTCAAAATATCTCCTCACTCTACAACAAGTGAACAGTTTGGGGAGAGGGCAGGAGACTACAACAATATAGTGCAGCTCTAATTGTGGGCCTGCTAAGATATTAGCTAGCACCAATGTTGTTGTTGCCCCTCTGCACATACCAACAGTCTAGAGAATGGTCATGTCTTTCTCTTTCCTCTCACTCTCTCTCAGCTTCTGCATTACATGTGAAAGCAGTCTGTGTGGAAGCTCCCTATCATGCCTTCTATGAAGGAACAAGGCTTGAGAAAGGACTTTTAACATATCCTCCCCCCCTCCTTGTATTTCTGTTCCATTTCTTTTTTTTTTTTTTTTTTTGTTGGTCAAATACCAACCAGCCATTGTGCAGAAATGGACATCAGTTCCTCTATTAAACAAAAATAAGACAAAATAATAAAAGTAAGAGGTTGGATCTTATTTTCAACCAATCTCTCCATTTCAAGTACTGCAGTTAAAATCTCAAATGAGAAGAAAAACAAGCAAACAAGGCAACATCCTTCACCAGTTGAAAATGCCCTCTTAAAATCTTTTCACTAGGTTCCAGTTACTATTAGAATTCTGCATTGGAAGGGAGGTGTGTCTCTTCACATTGTTTGATGGATGAAAATAAAATTTAAAAAAAAAAGAAAGAAAAAGGATTTTGCTTATACTGATTGACATCAACTTGGATACAGATTTCTATAATTCTTTTACTTATTTTATCATTTTTTTTTTTTGTCAACACCATTCCTTCATACTGCCAATGAAAAAGTCAGCCTTAATAATATTTAGTCACTTTCCCACCAACATAAGGTTACCTCTCTTTGTCGTGTCTATAAATACTTTCATGTTTGGATGAACTCTTCGCTATGGTACCTAGAATTTTTTTTAATTTAAGCACAGTACTAGGCTGTAACTTCTATGCTAACAGTTTCTTTTCTTGCTTGTGAACGTCCCTTCTGGCTCTATGCTTTCCAGTCAATTGCTATCTCCTGTCCTCTTGATTAATCTTTTTCACTTTGCTCTCATTATTGTTTCGGTTCCTAATTCTTCCACACTCTGTAACCCCCTTGTATCTTCATGGCTTTACTGCCTTGCATGGGGTGATACTGATTTAAAAAAAAAAAAAAAAAAATTGAAACTTGAAGAGAATTTTCTTTGTATAGCACATTGTTCTTATATTTGGTTCCTCATCACTTCATTTTGCTTTTTCCTGAAGACATTGAATTTTCATATACATGTACTAGTGCCATGTTCTTCACCATTTTATTTTTTGTGTGTGTGTGTACGTTTTTGGTTGTACATTTTACCTCCATGGAAGATTTCATGTCAGTTAATGTTATTGAGGGTTTTTATTTTTTCTTTTAAGAAGCAGTGGGGAAAATATATTGCATGTTCCCTTATTTAAAATTCCCTTTATACAATAATAGTTTTATTTTTTCTATACTTTATTGAATCCCTTTTCAACACGTGATACAGAAATGTTTTGCCTTTAATTTTATCTGTAAATAAAATGTGCAACTAGATTAAGTTCCTTAACATTTTAAGAATATTTCTTTTCCATTAAAAATTTTGCAATATTTTTGTCTTTTTACAGCATAAATTTTTCAGATTTAGAAATTTTAATTTTCAATGTAGTTTAGATAAGCTACTTTCCTGATCACTGAAGTATTTTATTTTTTTAATTACAGTAATAATGAATTCTTTGCAGTATCAATTGTGCAAGAAATTTTTTATGTAGAATGTTTTTTGTAGCCTTGATTTCTGAATTGCTTAAGGATGTGCAGGTGGTGTAATATATAGCAGCTTGCATGAGAAATATGAGTTCAAATTCCAGTCAAATTCATTATATTCACTTTTGTGCAAATACTCTTGGGAAAGGTATAAATCAATCCCTCCCCAGCTATGGGTTAAATAGGACTTGTCCCAATAAAAATCATTATCTCCCCCCCTGCCCCAAATAAAAATTAATGCAATATTTGCTTGCCAAAAAATGATTATTCTTACAATTTTGACTTTAAATAACCCACAACTTTTTTTTTTTGTTAGGCTTATCAATTAATTGTGGGTTTCACTCATTGGGGTAAAACATAACTAAAACATACAGAAAAGTACCAAAAATTACAAATACAATATTAACATGGAAGCTAAAAAAAATTGCCCAAACATTAGACTTAGATGACTGAATAAATTGCATTGCTAAATCACAAGCATTCATTACTAAAAGGCCACAAAAAACAACAAACCCAACATGCTGACTTGTAAACCTAACTAAAAGTGAGTTAAGTAAAATAATATGAGAAAGTTAATTCAAGATAAAGTTAGTAGTAAACCAGTGGGAAGACACAAACTATACACTTGTCCCACAACCTAAACAAAACAAATATAATTGTGAATTTGTAAAACTAAATATAAATTTTTTTTTTACCCTTCTATAACTGAACCCATGCTAGATAAAGTCATCTCTTTACACCATGAACAAATAAAAAATAAGCACAAAGTAATCATTAAACACTCCTGAAAATCATTATTATTTGACAACGATGATGTGTGAATAAAATTATCTTTGATGTTATAGTACCTTTGATATTATAATGGGAAGTTTCGATGGTGCCAAAACCTGTGAACTTATAGGTATACATATACTAAGTAAAATAATTAATAAAACTGATATAGACCTCTATGGGGACAACAGTTTCTTAGTTTTATGAAACTGATAAAACCAGAAAAATAAAAAATTGAGATTCGATCTAGTCAAAAACCAACTTAAAAGATTTCCTCAATGTTGCATTCAACCTCAGAAAAGGTACATATCAACCATGTAGAAAACCTGACGATGAACCAGTTTACATATGCATGTCTTACAACCACCCACAAACCATAATCAAGCAGATATCACAATCTCTGACAATTCTTCCACCAAAGCCAAAAAAATTATGAAATGGCCCTGAAAGTTCTGGCAACACTCACATGCAGACCACATGGCACAAAAAAAGCCAACCGGAAAAGTATCACAATATGGTTTAACTCTCTGTACTACAGAAACGTAAGAACACACATAGGAAAAATGTTCATTAAACTCCTACACAAACACTTCATCAAGCATCCTTCACAAGATATTCAATAAAAACATAGTATAAATCAGGTATGGTTGCAGCAAGATCATGGCACAATAAAAAAGCACAACTTAAGCATCAACAAAGCACTCACAAAAATCAGACACACTGCAGAGTAAAAAATGCATGCCCCTTAAATGGCAGTTGTTTGCATAAACAATGTAATATACCAAGCCAAAACAGAATCAGCAGATAATGAAAAAAAATATACATAGCAGTAACCAAAGTACTCTGCAAACAAATTACTCCAAAAACATGTAAACAGCACAATGTTTTCAAAAGATATGTGGGAAATTAAAAACAAATTACACCAAAATGATGGAAAATAGTGTCAGCCTACAACAATAAATCTCAAAAACTGTAAACTGTCTTGAGAAAATAGCTATAATCACCATTCCAGACCAATACAAATTACAAAATAAATGATCAGAACTTCTCAAAATGCAGACACAAAAAACAATTTTTTTACTACATTACTTAATCAAAAACTAGAAATGATTACCCTGTGAAATACCTCCTGATAAATGAAAATATATACGCTATATACAGTGAACATAATGCAATATTACACAAAGCTAATAACTTAAGCTAACCAACCAACTCTCAAGAAAAAATAAACAAAAAATATGAATAAATAAAGCAATAAACAAAATAAACTATGAGAGCACACATAAACATAAATATCATAATAATAAATAACTAATGAAAAGTTAACTATAATATACCTGCAAATAACCGCATTCATATCCACAATTTTTTTTTTCTACTTAGTAGCCTCTGGAATAACTGGAAATATAACTGTTACAACCTACCCAATAAGTGTTAGGATAACAATAGATCTTACTACCCATAATCCATCATTGACCGACATATATAAATAGTTGAACCAAAACACATTACAGGTTAGACGATAATGTTATTAAGTAAAAACTATATTTACTAATAAATGGAAAAGCTTACTATATAATTCAGCGACCGTCATCCCAATATATTAAAAATAATTTTTTGTGTGTATAAACGTGCCGATTTTTATAAATGCAGATGTCCATACACCTTATCATAAAATAAGGGCAGTAACTCTGGTATATTTAGTGCCGAAGTACCTAAAATTCAATAAAACAGATCAATGAGAATATTTTCCTAAATTTTCAAGACTGAGTAATTATATATAAGACAAGGCACTCAGGTTATATTTTTCAAGTAATTTTTGCATATACGTCCTCCCACCCAGCTAAAAGATTGTTAATAAAACTCTGGTTTTTATTTAAGATGTTGACAGCCTACCTCCATGTTTAAAAAAAAAAAAAAAAAAAAAATGAATTCCTGCGGCATTTTAAACTAAAAGTAGACGTTTTAAATCAAATTAAACTTTAAATCAGCTAATATTCCCCAAATAGTTTCAGAAAAGTATTTTATTTTTGAAAGATTTTTTTTTTTTTTATAAATAGAATTACATCGTAAAACATTTAAAAAAAAAAAAAAAAAAAAAAAAATAAGGATTCAACATAGACATAAAACTAACAAAAGTATATTTTCTGGATGTTACCTTCAATCTATGTAAAGGTGTATATCAACCATACAGAAAACCCAATGACAAACCACTGCATATACACATTTCTTCCAACCACCCGCCGTCAATAATCAAGCAGATCCCACAATCAATTAATCTCAGAGTATCTGAGTGAAATCATTTTCAACGAAGCCAAGAAAGACTGAAACGACCTAAAAGATAGTGTAGCATACACGCCGTACAACAAACGTAGGAAAAATATTCATTGAACTTATATACAACATCCCGCCCTGTCAAGCACTC